CTTCTTCATTTCAGCCTGAGTAGTCTTCAATATTTCTAGCTCTTTTCTGAATTCATTAAGAAGTTTATCCCTATCTTCCATCAGTGACTTGATTTCTTTATTTGTTCTTTAAATTCACTGAATTCTTTTATTATGTTTATAATTGTTCTTTTGAGTTCCATGTCTTGCATTATCTCTAGGGGGTTCTCATTGTACTCCTCTAGAGGACTATAGTATTGGTGGGGATGTTATTTTGGTCTCTCGTGTTATTTTTTCTCTGTGATTTTGATATCTGAATTTCTTTTGTAGTTTCTGATTCTTGTGTGAGATTCAAGTCTTCAAGTTTAGGTCTGCTTCTTTTTGTAAACTTTACGTGTCTTTGTGGTTTGCTTTTTGGGCATGAAAAGCTGGTTCTTCTAAGCTTCCAGTTCTCTCTTTTGATTTTATATTGACTGGCCAGATTGCTTTTGTCTTCAGGAGTTCCCAGAGAGGACCAAGTCAGATGAGGTTCAGATGCTCTCAGGCTTTCTCCTAAGGTCTGGATCCTTCTATGAAAGATTTTGGCCTCAGGAACTTGGGGGTTGGACCGGTCTGGGAGCATGGCACAGGAAAGTTGCTGGTTTCGGGCAACTGGTGGCCATGACACTCAGAGATGAAAAGGGAGATGGGGGTGGGAAGAGGCCCCAAAGGCTCCTGGGGATTGCACTGAGGAACTGATTTGGTCTAGATGCAAAGGATCAGGAAGCCAAAAGGTCAGCCCCCACATCTAGGAAAGAGGCTGGCAGGTGTGCATCGCAGGGAAGCAGAGGGAGGTAAGGATGGGCCTAGGCCCGGAGGGCTCCTGGGGACCTGTAGAAGGAACTGGGTCCATCTGGATGCAAGGGATCAGGAAGCCGTGGTGGCTCCGGGCCAAGAGCTCAATCAGCCCTGGAGTCCAGGAAACAGCCTGACGGGCTTGGCAACCTAGGGAAGCAGAGGGAGGTGAGGGTGGGACCAGGCCCAGAGGGCTCCTGGAGAGAGGCCCGCAGGTTGTGCAGGCCCAAGGAAGCAGAGTGAAGTCAGGACTTCCATTTTCTAAAAACATAATTGCAGCCTTTAAAACTATTTGCCACCATTTAATTTAGACATAAGAAAAATGTCTAATAGTCAAAATGGTTTCTATTTGTAACATGTATATGAAAATTCTCAAAGACAGCATTTAATTGCTTCATGAGAAGCACTTAATATGTAATATTTTATACATTTAGTAAATATTCATTTAAACAATATTCTTAGGATGGTATATTGTTAGAACTTAGAACTCATTTGGTAAAATATGAGTCTGTTTTAGTTTAAAAGATTACCAAATCATATAAATAAATAAACAATATAAAAATTAGTTTTAAGCACTGATATATGATGTCTACAAACCATATTTTACTGAAAAAAAAAACACAGTATCTAGGGTAAAAATCTTAATAAAGAAAGACTATATTAAAAATATTTTCATGGATCTTCTTTTAACACATTCTCAACCATAACTGCTGTCTTTTGTAAAATTTTACTGCTAGAAATGCTATATCAATTATATGACTTAATATCAAGGATCAACTATCAACTGTTGTATTTTAACACTTAAAAGTCATTGGTGCCAATGTTTTATCTATCCAATTACATGTGCAAAAATATTTTTTGTGCTCTTCGTAATCCAAGCACTTTGCCTGCACCATATAAGCAAAAGCTTTCAAATGTTTGTAATAATTGTCTCTATATATCAGACCAAAAATTCATAAAGAACCTCTTATTAGTGTGGTCTCCCTTGTCTGGAGAAGTGTTCACAACTAGTCACTTTGTGAAGAGAGTAGTTCTTTAATGAAGTGTGACAGGCAGTTAACAAACAAATATATAACGAATGGCTTTATAGATCTAATCTAACATTTCTCAGTAGCTTCTAAAAAATTCTTTTTACACACGATATTTCTCTTGGGGCTGGAGAGATAACTCTGTAGTTAAAAGCACTAGCTATTATTGTAGAAGACTTGGGCTCAAATCCCAGCAACTACGTAATGGCATCAACTGTCCATATCTCAAGTTCCAGGGGATCTGACGTTCTCTTTTGTCCTCCACAGTAACTTCACGAC